CCCTCTACCACTCCTCTCTCCAGATCCTCTCCCCCCCTTCCCTTTCGCCTTCCCCCCCACCCTCTCTCCCATCCATGGGGAAATTTTGAAGGACCATGCGCTCTGCCACTGCGCTGCAGAGGGACTTCCCCAGTGTACTTCCTTTGCTTGTAAAAGCCGAAACTCCGACGTTTCTATATAAAATCCCATGAATATGTTTCCTTGTAAGTACGGACTTCCTGGTATGAAAGAGAATTCAGATGGGATTCCAAACATAAAAGACAATTCACGAGAGAGGAGAGAGGAAGAATTAGATTAGGAAGTATTTGACTCTTGCCTTCATTATATATCGCTGGCTTTAAAGAAAAATAGATCAAATTAACACCAAAAGCCCAGTAGAAATATATATCGTTTCAAAGCTTAACATATTTTATGGATTCTATTATTTCTAAGTTCTTATTAAAGGCTTGCTAGCTTTTCCTCCACTGCTTAATAGTAATTCTGAATGAAATTGTTGTCCACCAATCATAATTTTCCCATCCAGATAGGTTACTCATGCGCTGATCACCTCATGATTGCATTAGTGCAATGTGCCCTCAAAGACCACCTAGAAGCTGTGGCTGGTTCAGAAAGCAGATGTGCAAGCAGTAGCAGATGCCTCTTGGTGTGCCCATGTGTCACCACTGCTGCACCAGCTGCGTTGGCTGCCAGTCAGCTTCAGAGTGGAATTCAAGGTGCTGATTTTTACCTATAAAGCTCTGTTTGGCTTATGACCTGGATATCTAAGATACATTTGTGTCCCCAATCATTTCTGCCCACCCCCTACATTCTGGCAGAACGGGTGTGGTCCAGGTCCCCAGTATAAAAGGCCATCTTGAGGGATACGAATTCTTTTCTTTTTTTGCAATGCTATCCCATGCATAAGTGTTACTGAATACNTTAGCTTTTATTGATAATTTCTGTTGTAGTATGTGCTTAGAAATACTTCTTATTCCACTAGTGGCATAACGTCAGAGGAAGACCAAAAAACTGTTACTAGTCCTATATTCTTTATAAGCTGGCTTTCTAATAGCGCAATGTTTCTCAACCTTGGCGACTTTAAGTCCTGTGGACTTCAACTCCCAGAATCCCCCAGCCAGCACAGCTGGCTGGGGGATTCTGGGAGTTGAAATCCGCAGGACTTAAAGTCGCCAAGGTTGAGAAACATTGCGCTATTAGAAAGCCAGCTTATAAAGAATATAGGACTAGTAACAGTTTTTTGGTCTTCCTCTGACGTTATGCCACTAGTGGAATAAGAAGTATTTCTAAGCACATACTACAACAGAAATTATCAATAAAAGCTAAAGCATCCCTACAGGTCTGACCCACAACACAACTTTTACAAATCTTGAGGTTCCACAGAACCTGCCTATGCTTCTATTTTAGAAACACACGGGTATTTCTAAAATCACCTTTACATTTGGTGATAAGAAATAGAAAGAAGAATTCCTGGCAATAAACACCATGGAAGAGATGCCTCATTGGTCAGAATAATCAGTTTTAAGCTAGTTATGAAGTCCACTGCTTCAACTAACCCATTTATTGGAACAGCACTGTTTATTTTTATTTTAATAAAAAAATCATTGCATCTGAGGAGATGTGTTAATTCATGAAACCACGGGGTTTCCATGGATTTGGGAGTCCCAAAATGCCAAGATAGCACCCAAGTCTTCATAGTTTCAAGCCTTGCCACTTTTCTAGATATGTGCTGCGCATCAAAGAGGGTGGGGCTTTGATCACACCTGCCATCTTAACTTTTCTGACACCTCACTCCACTGACACCCCTGTTAATGCTTCACAATAGTGGCTGGATTGATCCATAATGTTTGTTGCACATAAAATCATAGTCCTAGGCTGTAATGAGTAAGTTCATACATCATAATAAATTAACCACATCAGCCTAGAATGGCTGCTTGAATTGGTTTGGTTTCTTTTGGTTGGATTTGTTTATATGGTTGTCAGGTTTCCATTCTCTGATGCTGAAAAGCTCTTGGAAAGACCAACAATTAATTTAAATTTGATTTACATTCTATTTAAGGGATGAGGATTCTCAGAAGCAGTTAAAGGTAATCTTGGATGTTGTGAAGGCACCGTCCCTAATTAGGTTCAGTTCTGTTGCATTTTTCACCTTTTCCTTCCTGGCAATATGGCAGCAGGGTGGAATTACTGTTCCCTTTAAATAAAAAAACCTATTCTATTCATAATAATGCTGAATTAATTAGATACCATGAAGCGTTTCTTAATTAGATATGTCTCATTTAAAAGAACTCTTCCAAAATCATTTCTGCAGCTCTGAGCCATTGGGCTCAAAGGCCTATGAAATGCCATGGGGCTTGGAGAAAGGGCCATCTATTTCCCTTTGTCCAATGGCTTTGCTACAGCCTAATGGAAAGGATGCAGTTTAGCATAAGTGCAAAATGTTCAGGTCATCTGTTCCCTATAGGCTTACGCAGTAATTAAACACAGGGGTGAAACAATTCACACTGCAGTATACTGCAGCGAGGTTGATCTTGTTCTCTTAAGGATGCGCATGCAGCTTTAGTAAATGATAATGAAAGGCATAGAAGATTGTCCGCTACTTTGGGTTTCCTATTGAATCTATTCCGTCAGAAAGTGTGAAGGGCTTTTCCACATCTATTATGTAGAGAGCTGGGTCCAAAGCTGTGATCATATCAAATGCTTTGATTCACCTATTTTCTGTACAATTAATCATAACATTCTCATTCCATCATTCAACTATCTCTTTCCCTTGTTCCCTGTAATGCCTTTTTTTCGAGAACAGCATCTTTGTATTCACTGATTTGGAATTGAGTAGGTACAGAATCCTATCATATATTTGCCTAGCAATTTTCACAAACCCCCAACAAATCTCTATGGCAACAAGGCGTTTGGCATTCATTCTTTATTCTTTACTTTCAAGTGCAGTAAATGACAAACATTATTTGTCAAAGGTACAGTCTCCTTTAAAAAAAAAAAAATTAAGCTGAGTAAGATAAAGGCTTCCTGCAGCCATTTCTTCAGCAAATCCCACTGAGGCTATATAGCCCATAAAACTGGAAGCACAAAATCAGCCAAATTTATTTGTTTACAAGTAAATCATTTATGTGGCCACTGGCGAACCCTCAGCAGTCGTGCAATCTGTGGAAGAAAAGATAGAACCGTTATGGCTGCCAAAAACACAAGTAGCAGGATCTTGTTTACAATGCACAAATCATGTGTTTCATAAACCTTTTTCGGTTCTCTAGTCAAACCTGCATTTAGAACATCTGAGGATTTTATTTCCATATTGACTTGATTAAAGACACAGCAAGCACGCTTATTAGATGACTATGCACTAATTTTGCAGTACATCCGTATTTTCATTCACAGTGGGATTGTTTATTTTAGACGTTATTTGATTTATAAAGCAGTTTTATATAATTTGTAAACCAGCAAGTAATATGAAGGAATGCAGCTTAATGTAAACCAATAAGCCAGTTGTGTCATTCTTCATTTTAGCCTTTTTGACATCAGCAGGTTTAAAATCAACTGCTGTCTTTTAACAGATTGGCTTAGCTGAGCTCTTGTCATCATCAGTATTTGGAATCAAATATTATTTCACTTTTAAATATTTCCCCTGACCAGAAATATCTGGAGCGCTATAATTCAGATGATTTTCCCCTCATCAAATATTCATTTTAGTTTAATGTTACATTTTGTTTAAAACCCACTTCATACTTAGCACATGGACGCCAGATTCTGTTACTGTTTTCCACAGTGGGCACATAAAATATAAAGAGGGCCAAACATTTTGGATCACATGGGGAAAAGATACATGCATTCTGAAATCCTTGGGATTTATTACTTAATGGCTGCATATCGTACCTTATCCGTAATGTGTTTATTACAGAAATCATTGCTATGGATGTTAGTCAAATGCTTTAGTTTGTTTGCAATTATGGTCTCTGACCAAAATATTTCATAAAATGCCAAATGTATCCTGTTTATAGTGTTTGTGTAGCAATTTGCTTTGTGCAAGCTGCAAAAACATTCTCAGAGGCCTCATCTCTGTTCTGCCACAAATGCTCTGGTTGCTGCTCTTCCCCATTCAAAAGATATACGACTAAACACGAACATTGCTAATTCTCCTGCACTGCCATGCCTTTCCTGGAAAGGCAAAGGGATGGGCTAGCTGATAGGTTTTGGGTTTTTTCCCCATCTGCATAGCCATACAGTCATAATCACTGTGGGTAGAAATGATCTCCAACTGCCATGTTCACTTCAAAACGTTTCTCTTTTGACTTGAACTAGGTGGAAGCAGCAACCGATTCAGATAACGACAGCAAAAGCTTACGGGAGTATCATTCGGTTGGAGTGCAAGTGGAAGATGATAAACGGTAGGTTGGGCCATTTCTGAATGTGTTTTTGTCTGCTCAACGTATAGATGTCAGACTCGAAACCAAGAATGGCGCATGGTAATTCTTCCAAGCGGAGTTCTTTATTGTTCCACTTGTAGACAAAAATCTTACCAGATGTGCTGCCCTGCTTCCTACACACATCCACATGCACATGTGGCAAGAGTTATATAGGTGTTATTCAACACCACCACCACCCCAACAAGTCCTTGGAAAGCAGCCCTGATGTGCAGGTCTGGATTCCAAGGTCAGCACATCAAGAGTGGCTGGATAACTGAGTGCAAAGGGCACACACAAAGCCCAGGAAAGCAATCCAGGAATCAAACATGCTAGGATACGTGGCATGAACACACAAGGCACAGAACTGGGCATGTTGCTCCANCAGATATGCTGGCCCTAAGCCATGTAGGGCTTTAAAGGTAATAACCAACACCTTGAATTGCGTCCGGAGACCAATGGGTAGCCAGTGCAGCTCGCGGAGGATAGGTGTAACATGGGTATATCTAGGTACACCCCATATCGCTCGCGCGGCTGCATTCTGGACTAGTTGCAGTCTCCAAACGCTTTTCAAGGGTAGACCCATGTAGAGCGTGTTGCAGTAATCCAGCCTTGAGGTGACTTGAGGAATTTTCATATCTGCTTTTGGTCTTGCCCATATTCCAACTACATTCGTTATCATGTTGCACAAAGCCTGTTGCAGCTCTCAAGCATTTGTACAGATTCTTTTCTAAGGCATTGCCTCTTGTGTTGAAAAAGTGTATATTGTGAATTGAAAACTAGTTTTTAACAAAGAACAATGGATTGCAGGCTCTGTGGGAAACTGGTTGAGGAACAAGGAGCTTCTCCCATCATCATTCGCTGAAAGCTCAAACTGTAGAGATGCTGCAGGCCACACGCAATGAGAAGCCCAGTTGCTAGGAAGAAGGAAAAACATATTTGATGGTCCTTCTACCCTTTTCATTCTGTTAATAAACATCAGATTGTGAAGGTCAATGACTGCTGCATTTTTGTTTAAAAATTGAAATGTCTCAATGGAACATGAGAATAGGACAACCCCAACCCAATTCTTAAATAGGGCTATTATTTAACTTAGAAAATGAAATATGAAATTAAACTGTCATAATTCAAAATTGATTATGATTTTTAAAGAAAAGAGGTACATTTAGAGCATGGAATGTCCTAAATCTGTTCTAAACAGAACACAAAAAATGTTCCCATCATTTTTTTCTTCCAGAATACGCTGAATTCTATAATTGATTAAATGAGGGTAGCAACTCAGACTTTTATTGAGTTTGGACTTGATTTTCTTACTCCTTTATTTTTGTGAAGAGTAATAAACTTATATAGTATCTTTGAAGATATATATTCCAAGATGCTATGAACTTTTCCATGGGTTTTTCACTTTTCATTCATACTTGCTAAGAAAAGGAAGAGTTAATTTAAAATTGGTTGTTGACGGTTAATCTTGAGTACAGGAAAAATATGTTCTGGCTGACATACAGAGATCTTTAGATCAGATCTAGCCTCATGAAGGATACTTCCTTTATTTTGTCTATCACAGGGCTGTAATATTTTGAAGGCAAGGCACGAGTGCATCTTTGATGAATGAGATTTGTTACACAGAAAATGCAATATGTTTTCATGTCTTTCCAGCAATGGAGAATAAGTGAAATTCAAGTGAAATTTTATCTCCTTCAGCCTAGATATTTTCCACATAGGCTAGTGTTATATTGATTCATAGGTAGCTCATATTTTCAAACGAGATGGAATTTATGGAAGGATCCTGCCCTGTGTGCCTTTGACACTTTCATGAATGTGACCTTCACATGACTAACATTCCAATTAAAAGTGCTGTCCCAGAGATTTCCCATCTCATTCATATGCTCTTTGATATATTCAATGTACTATAATTCCTAGTTTAAAGAATATGTGCATAAAACTTGAGACAAGTATTCTAATTCTTTCCACACCAGCTTTACCAAACAGAAATTAAACACAGGGAAGATATTTATGCTGTGTGCTACAAGTACAAGAATAGTCTATCAGATTTTGTGGCCCCATAACATGGTGTGCAGAGTTAAAAGGACTCCTGCAAATGATTCTTAGTGCATATTACGTTTACTTTCGGAATTATCACTATTGTAATACAAACGTTATTTGGAAAGTATGGTATTCTTGGTCTTCTGTAGCCCTTCAACCTAACCCTGGAAAGTTGGATGAAGGGACATGACATCACTGACACCTAGGTGTTCTAACTTACATTATCTCCAGCAAGCAGGGTCAATGGCTATGTGGTCTGTCTATTATGGGACCTGTAATACAATGCCAGAGAGCACTGGACTGGAGGTGGCCACTTCTGAAGCTGTTCTCCCCCATCAAACATATTAGAAGTCAGCTACCTCTGTTTAGGATCTGCCAGATATTCTTTAATATCAAATTATCCAGCTTCCATTTCAGTTGCCTTTCCCTTCCTGAACTAGCTAGTTCCAGTCCAGGAAGAAGATTGTTGTCAGCAAGAGTGGACACCTCTCAAGAATCACCGTAAGTGTTATTTTTTTCTGATCTTACACAACTGTAGCACAATAGATTACATGAATTCATCTCATGTGAACCCATGTTGAATTCAACATGATTATGTAATATAATTCTTTTAAACTGAACATTTGGTAGCTTACTTAACCAAATTTTGTATCTTAAGCTAACTTAAAATTGGCAAGCTTTTGTTTAAATGTTCTTCACTCTTTCATACACATTGTATTAAAACAATTGTGTCTAGGTAAATAACTGTTCTTTTTGTTCCTTCCTAGAATTTCAACAAAGGAGCTGGGATATTCAAGACAGCAGCAGAGAAGGCTATAGCATTGTTCCTACAAAGAAAATTTATATGTATAAAATTGCACGGTTTAAAAACTGAATAAAACTGAACTCTGGGGGTTGTTTAAAGTAGATGCATATTGATTCCGACTGGTTTTTTAATGAAAGAAAAACAGTTTATTTTGTGGATAGATTCTATTAGTTGAGTGACCAAGAAGTAGGTTGGACCTATTTGAAGGTCTTCAGGCAACATGCAAAGGTTTCAGATTCCTAATTGATCCTCCATATCTTTCATAGATGAAATTCAAAAAAAAGAGGTTAGCAAGGAATTGTGGTATGAATGAAATGTTCTTTCTTTTGATTCTGCTATTTTCATGTATGGTTCCCAAAAGCAGATGTGGAGCAAAAGGAAGCCACACAATTTTTGAAAATACAGAATATGTATTATCTTTATTCAAGTAAAAATTCAAGGAGCCTAATCCAGATTGGGGGCTCATGCAGTGAGAGGGAGAATCTTTCTTTCCACCAAACATTTGCCTGTTAAAAATAATAATTGGTATCAATGTTGAAGAAAAAAATCACACATTCTGATTTGTGTTGAATAAATCAAAGTAGAGATAGAAACTATAATATATGATAATAATTACATATAAAAAGCTTAGAGCAACAACGATCATATAAAATATTATTTCCAAGTGCTGAATCCAAAACTTGTAGCTTCACGCTTTTTTTTTTTGAAATGGAAGAGGATAAGGGGAGGGGAGAACAACCAAGCAAAATTCTAAAACAGTTGCACAGTTTTGTGTGTTACATAGGAAGAATCCCTTTAGAGGAATATAAAGAAGTGGGCTTATTCAAGTGGGGATTCAAAAAAAGAACAACCTTGTTTTACAGAAGTTAACATCTGTGTAAGATCATGGCACCACCAGTCCCTCTGATAGCCTGAAAGGTTAAAATTGAAAATTGGACATAATAAGTAGCCTGTTTCAATCTTTTATTCAAGTGTAATGTGATTGTAGTATATTGGTTGGACCATCACAAGAAAAACAGGATTTTCTAACTCCATGTTCAGCTCCTTGCTTGTTGAAAAAGCCTGATTTCTGCTACCCTTAGAGTACCATTCACGAGATTAAGAAGAGGTCAGAAACATGCTCCAACTACTCTTTAATTCAGTAGACTGCTTAATTGCTACATTCACCTATTGTTAATATACTTATAGCTCTTGCAATAATAATAGATACGTATTCTTAGTAAATCATTTAAGTAATCAAAGGCAATGTCTCTCTCACCATTGAAAGGAAGTTAGATGAGTTATCATTATATTGTTTTTCAGGTGGAACATCACCGTAGTTTCTTCTGAGGTTCCCCTTCCTTCTCCCAAGAGTTTTCTTTGGTGACAAAGAACAGCTTCACGGAAATTTTTAATAATAGAAATCTTTATTGAAACCAGGAGTCTGCTGTGTTTTTATCCTGGATAATCTTGTGATACTATCAACTACCTAAAGGCTCATTCAGATAGAGCTCAACTCCTGAAGACTTCATAGGCAGAGCCATTCTCTAGCACAGTGTTTCTCAACCTTGGCGACTTTAAGTCCACAGGACTTCAATTCCCAGAATTCCCCAGCCAGCTATGCTGGCTGGGGGATTCTGGGAGTTGAAGTCCACAGGACTTAAAGTCGCCAAGTTTGAGAAACACTGCTCTAGCATCTAAATAGCCATTAACAACATAGCATGCCGGAAACTGGTCCACACAAAGAAGTGAAGCCCCATCTGTGGGATGCAGGCAACACACAAAAGCACACACCCTCCGGTCCATGGAAAAACCTCTCTCCACGGAACTGGTCCCTGGTGCCAAAAGATTGGGGACCGCTGATTAACAATGTCTGAAATAATTCTATATTTCATTTCATTTCATTTCTTGAATTTCTATGCCGCCCAATCCCGAGGGACTCCGGGCGGCTTACAGAAATGAAAAAAAATAAAATAAAAAGAATTTTTAAAAACAATGGGACACAACCAAGTTAAAAAGGGGGCTGGACCTCAATC